TTGAGGGCCTTATTGCCTCATCTGTTAAATGAGAGGGGACTCAATGACCCCTAAGTTGCCTTTCAGCTCTAAAGCTATGATGCTGAGTGATGGCGTTGGTATCTTTGGCTTCATCTTATTGTTTCACTCACTAGCTAATCACAAGAACTCATGGGTAGGACCTAGCAGGAGGCACCAGTAGGCTAAAAAAAGTATCCACCTTCAGGCCAGGGCTTGTGCTATCATTGCCTGTGGGCTAGACAAGGGGACTCAGTCCAGGGTGTGGGAAGAGACCCAGCAGACTATGATACTGGACATCCGAAACTATCAGCTCACATAGAGACTGTCTGTTAGAAATTCTTTGCTGTAGGGGGCGGAGCCAAGATGGTGGCATGAGAGCAGTGACTTGCTTGAGCTCTGCCCCAAACCCCTCCAAATACCTATTAAAAAAATGGCTCTAAACAAATTCTGAAGCAGCAGAACCCACAAAAAGACAGAGTGAAGCAAATTTCCAGCCCAAGACAACCTGGATGGTTGATCAGAAAGGTACATGGCACTGGGCTGTGAGAGGAGCACAGTGTGGCATGGGTATGCAGGCTGCAGCGAACTTGGAGCAGGCCTCAGAGGACTGAATCACGGGCAGCTGTGGCAGTTTTCAGACTTCTCAACCCACGTATGCCAGATACGACTTAGAAGGTCAGTGGGAAAAGTCTGTTTCTGCAGTGAGAGAGTGGTGGTCTCAGGTCCATTCCTAGAGGCTGCCTCCTGAGCTTCTGGCTGAGGGGGAGTCCAGTGGCTGATCAGAGGGAGATTGCAGGGTTCTCTTTGCCAGTGCTGAGGCAGGAATCTCTTGCTTTGTGCATGCTTGGATCTGGGTCACAGTTCTGGGCGGCGGGTGCTGGGGTGAGGAGGAGCACTGGTGGTGGAGGTTGTAGTGGCTGTGAAGAGGAACCTCTCCTCACAGTTACAGGACAGAAAGGACTGTTTGTGGTCACTAATAGAGCAGAGCACAGGCCAGGAAAGGAGTAAATACCTCCCTTATCATACCTCCTTGGAAGAACTGAAAATTTACAGGTCCCTAAAAGTATCTCTGAAAATAGCTGTACAAGCTCCCAAAACTTGGGAAAGTACATTCTCCACATTGGAAGCAGACTCTTACCTTCACAAAGAGTTTAAAACTCGAGTAATTGGCTGGGATCATGAGCAAGCAGCGCAAAAAAGTCAGACTATATTATCTTACTTTGGTGACAAAGAAGATCAAAACATACAACCAGAAGGAGACAACAAAGTCAAAGCTCCTACATCCAAAGCCTCCAAGAAAAATATGAATCAGTCCCAGGCCTTGGAAGAGCTCAAGATGGATTTTGAGAAGCAAGTAAGAGAAGTAGAGGAAAAACTGGGAAGAGAAATGAGAATGATGCAAGAAAATCATGAAAAAAGTCAACTGCTTGCTGAAGGAGACCCAAAAAATTAAAAAAAAAATTCTTTGGGTTAAGCATTTGGTCTTCTATTTTGGAGAAGTAATAAAATGAAAAATCTCCTTTAAGTTTTTTTTTCTTTCAAAGGTCTTTACACATTACAGTGATTTGCCGTTTGTCCTCTGGGAAATTGATGACTAAGTAGCAGCTTTACAGGAATCATGCTTCAGATTTCCAAGCTAAACTTCTCAACTAGACAACCTCTTCCTGTATTGTTTTGAGATTGTCATATTCACTCATTTTGGTTATTTACAAAATGGAGTCCTTTAAGATGAAATTGTCTATAGGACACTATAGAGGTATGAAACATGCTAATAAAAGCCATGAAACAAAGCAGCCACTGTTAGTGTCACTGATAGTGGCATATCAGTGTCAAAATGCTCACATCTTCGGGAAATCTGACTTGAAAGATTCATATTGTTAATGACTTGTGGAAGAGGGATCAGACTTGTTTTCCTTAGCATTAGGAGGCAAAACTAAGATGAACAGGGAGTTTTGATTCAGTATGAAGAAAAACTTCCCAATAATTAGAGCTGTCCAAATAGGAAGAACTGCCTTGGAAGACTGAGGATTCCCTGTCATCGGAAGAGAAGCAACAACTCGTTGGAGAATTTGTAGACGAAATTTATGGTTTACCTGTGTGTTCAGCTCAATGACCTCCAAGATCACTTTCCATCTGAGGCTTTGTGGTTCTCAGTGTGAATAAAGACCAAAGAAATATCAATCCATTTTTTCATGTTGTCTACTCCCTTAGAATGTGAGCTCCCTGAGAGCAGGGACCATATTTTTAACCTTTCTTTGCGTCAGTAATGGTTAACACAGTTCCTGGCACTTAAGTGCTTAATAAATGCTCCTTGTCTGCTTCACCTCCTTAACAGCTATAAAATGAATCAGTTGTGCTTTTATATTTTTATATGATAGGAAAAGCTAACATTTTTTTATATATATATATATATATATATATATTATAATATAAATATAGTAAATATAATGTATTAACATTATTTCAATACTCTTGGGAAGTGGGTCCCATTATTACCCCCATGTTATACGTAAGGAAACTGAGGCAGGTTGCCTTGACCAGTGTCACCCAGGCTAGTAAGTCTGAAGCTAAATTTGAACTCATATCTTTCTGACTCCATGATCACAAGGTAGCCAGATGGCATTATGGATAAAACATTGGACCTTGAAGTTCTGAGTTCAAATTTCACCTTAGATATTTAGTAGCTGTGAGACCCTGGGCAAGTAACTCAACCTGCGTATGCCTTAGTTTCCTCTTCTGTAAAAGGTGGGTAATAATAATAATACCCACCTCTCATGGTTATTGTGAGGATCAAATGAAATAATGTTAAGTGCTTTGCAAACCTTAAAGTGCTATAGGAAGGGTCACTGTTATTATTCATACAACTCTGATTCTGGTTTCTGTGTTAATTATTATTAATATTGATTAGAGCTATTAATATCAGCTCAAGTCATTATGTCATAATATTATTTGCCTTTTATAATAGTTTTATACCTGGGAGTGACTGTTCTTTAAGTGTAGTTAGTTTTGGAAATAGAAAGTTAGACAGAAGCACGTCTAGATTTCATTGTTGTTGTTAATACCACTTTGGCTGTTATTTTACTTCAAAATTTATCAGTGACATACATGAGTTTCAGTCATTTGACTTGTGGTTTCTTTCCTCAGAGCTCGAAAGTGTCTATTTCAAGGCTTTACTTTTTTTTCTAATTTTTTCAAAAAAAAGTTTTAAATGTATTTGTTTATTTTTAGCATTCAGCATTCGCTTTTATAAGATTTTGAGTTCTAAATTCCCCACCACCACCCCTCACCTCCCCAAGACAGCATGCAATCTGATGTAGGCTGTACATGTGTGATAATATTAAACATATTTCTACATTACTCATGTTATAAAAGAAGAATCAGAACAAAAGGGAAAAACCATGGGGAAAAAAACCCAACCAAAATAAAGAGAAAATAACATGGTCCAATCAGCATTCAGACTCCATAATTATTTCTCTGGATGTGGATAGCATTTTCCATCGTGAATCTTCTGGAATTGTCTTAGATCCTTGCTCAGAAGAGTTAAGTCTAACAAAGTCGGTTGTCACTGTGTACAGTGCTTTCTTGGTTCAGTTCACTTTGTTCGTCGTCAGTTCGTGCACATCAGTTCATACACGTCTTCCCAGGTTTTTCTGAAGTCTGTCTGTTCGCCATTTCTAATAAAACAGCAGTATTCCATTATATTCATATGCCACAAGTTGTTCAGCCATTTCCCAGTTGTTGGGCATCCCCCTCAATTTCCAATTCTTTGCCGCCACAAAAAGAGCTGCTATAAGTGTTTTTGTACCTGTGGGTCCTTTTCCCATTTCTATGATCTCTTTGGGATACAGCCCTAGAAGTGGTATTGCTGGGTCAAAGGGTATGCACATTTTTTTTTATTAATTTATTTTGATTTATCAACAATCACTTCCACATGCTTTTGAGTTAAAAATTTTTCTCCCCCTTCCTCCCCCCCACCCTCCCCAAGACGGCACACAATCTGATATAGGCTTTACATTTACATACCCATTAAACGTATTTTCACATTAGTGAAGCTGTAAGTAAAAATTAAAACCACTAGGAGGAACCATCAGAAAGATGAAACAAAACTCAACAGAAGGTAAAAATAAGTGATGGCGATTCAACTTCCATAGTTCTTTCTTTGGATGTGGACAGCATTTTCCATCCTGAGGCCTCTGGAAATCTCTTAGATCCTCGTAATGCTGAGAAGGGTTCAGTTTAACAGTCTTACTCATTGCATAACGTGGCTGTTATTGTGTACGAAGTCTTCTTGGTTCTGCTCACTTCACTCAGCATCAGACCATATAAGTCTTTCCAGGTTTTTCTGAAGTCATCCTGTTCATCATTTCTTATGGTACAATAGTATTCCATTACATTCATATACCACAACTTGCTCAGCCATTCCCCAATTGATGGGCATCCTCTCAATTTCCAATTCTTGGCCACCACAAAAAGAGCTGCTATGAATATTTTTGTACATGTGGGTCCTTTTCCTATTTGTTTGATCTCTTTGGGATATAGCCCTAGAAGTGCTATTGCTGGATCAAAGGGTATGCACATTTTGGGCATAGTTCTAAATTGCTCTCCAAAATGGTTGGATCATTTCACAACTCCACCAACAATACATTAGAGTTCCAATTTTCCCACATCTCCAACATTTATCATTTTCCTGTTTTGTCATGTTAGCCAATCTGATTGGTATGATGTACCTCAGAATTGTTTTGATTTGCAGTTCCCTAAGCAATAGTGGTTTGGAGTATTTTTCATATGACTATAGATAGTTTTAATTTCTTCAATACACCATTTATCAATTGGGTAATGACTTATATTCTTATAGATTTGACTCAGTTCTTTATATACTTTAGGATTGAGGTAAGGCCTTACTTTCTAAAGTACTGTTGGTGAGTATTCACATTTGCAGGCTTTTTTTCTCTCTGTGTTCTAGCATTAAAAACTCAGTCATGGTTTTCTTTCTTTTTAAGGGTGTACCTCAGTTACCATGTGCCAAAGCATTATACAACTATGAGGGAAAAGAGCCGGGAGATCTTAACTTCACCAAAGGTGACATCATCATTCTACGTCGACAAGTGGATGAAAATTGGTATCATGGAGAAGTCAACGGGATTCATGGATTTTTTCCCACTAATTTTGTGCAGATTATTAAACCTTTACCTCAGCCCCCCCCCTCAGTGCAAAGCACTTTATGACTTTGAAGTGAGAGACAAGGAAGCTGACAAAGACTGTCTGCCATTTGCAAAGGTAAACTTTCTCAGTTGGACATTTCTTTCTTTTTTTTTTAAAGTTATTGTTGCTTTGTGTTTTTAAACTACAGTCCTTAAACCATAGAACCTTGTAATTCACCCCCCCAACTACCTACTCCCCGCCAAAGAAACAAAGACATTTAAGCAAAACTAATATATATCACTATTATGTTTGTCAGAGTATACACCATTCCACATCCATAGTCTTCCACCTCTCAGTTGGGATATTGGAGGTGGGTTTTAATCATCAGTTAAGTAGAGTTCATTAGAGTTCAACTGCCTTTCACTGTTGTTCTATTTCCTCCCTATTTGGTTGACAAGGGTATGACTGAATGGGATAGATTCACGGCCATTTGTACTTCCTTCCTACTTCCTTGTACTGCCATTTTTTTTTACAAACCACTTTCTAACTTTAAATAGGTTCTTAATTTTTTAAAAAATAATAGTCAATAGAGAAGCAGCATGACGAAGCAAATAGAACCAGCCTCAGAGTTTCGAAAACATATCCTAGGCTGTGTGATCCTAAGTAAGACCCTTAACCTCTCAGTGCCCCTCAGGTGACTCTAAATTTCAGAGTAGTTGACAACCAGCATTGATGAGTTTCCTCATGGGGAGTTCTAATGAAATCACATGTGATCTGACAAAGAGTAATTATCATTTACCAAAAGCAGTTTTGTTCACGGGGCAGCTAGGTGGCGCAGTGGATAGAGCACTGGGTTTAGAATCAGAAAGACTCATTTTCATGAGTTAGAATCCAGCCTCAGACATTTAGCTATGTGACCTGGGGCAAGTCACTTAACTCTCTTTGCCTCAGTTTCTTCATTTGTAAAATGAGCTGAAGAAGGAAATAGCAAACCACTCCGGTATCTTTGCCAAGAAAATCCCAACTAGGGTCACAAAAACATTAACTTTTCTTCACAAACTATGAAGTGCCAATTAAAAAAAATCTCGAGTGGTTTTTTTTTTGTTTTTTCATTTATAATAAAAATTATATCTCTCCCCCAGAAAAAAACTCCCAGACCCTTCCCTTCAAGAGTGTATATGTCATGCCAGGATATGAAAAGTTGAATGAACTAGTGGGATTCCTAAGTTAAAGTCTGCTTCTGTGATTAAAAGGATACACAGTACCAGGAAAGTTGTCTGTTGAGTAGGCATTTTTAAGATGCATGTCACCTTTGTACATAAAGTTTGTAAAGCAATAGAAGCATTTAGTTTCATCTAAGAAAAGGTTTCTGTAAGAAAAGTTTGAGAGTCAATGTGACACTAACCTAGTCCCTTCCTATCTTTCCAGTCTTTTCATACCTTACTCCTCTTCACATACTCAGTGATTCAGTAACATTTACTTCCTAGATGTTTCTCTCACTAGACATCTATAGATTTGGGGTATTTTCTCTGGCTTCCACATACCTGTAACCTGCACTCTCCTCAGCTCTGCTACTCGGACTTCTTTCAAACAAACCCCAGCTAAAATCCTACCCTCTACAAGAAGCCTTTTCCTCTTTAATGCTAATGCCTTCCGTCTGTGGATTATCTCCAATTTATCCTGTAAAATCTTGTTGCTACATAGTAATCTCTCCTTTAGGTTCTGAGCTCCTTTAGAGCTTTTGCCAGCCTTTTGCCTCTATTTATATCCCCAGCACTTAGCATAGTGCCTGGCGTATCATAGGCTCTTAATAAATGCTTGTTAACTAAGTAACTGTCTGACTAAGATTCTATAAACTGAAGGGGGTGGGGGTAGAGATAGATTTCAACATCCTAATTATATAATATTGCAGCCAAGCTTCTTCACAAGGGTGCATATACAGACATACCCATCATTGAGTTTTTATTCACGTAGTCTGAAATTGTCAAAGGGCACAAATTAAGTAACGAGTCTTCATTAGAATGTGGAGACATCATCATTTTGGTATTCCTACAGGATGATGTCCTGACGGTAATTCGGAGAGTGGATGAAAATTGGGCTGAAGGGATGCTGTCCGACAAGATTGGGATATTCCCTATTTCATATGTTGAGGTAAGTTAAGCTGCAGCAACTTTGAGAAGACCAGTGATGGACCTGAGAAATAGACTTTAATTGTGAAATTTCAGTATTGGTCATGACTCCTAGCCCTCTCCCTCCCAAAGAGTGAACTACACCTTAATCTTATTTTACAGAAGGTCTAATTGTGAGATTGCTGAATGCTGAAATTTCATATGCTGTTTCCCACCCCTCCACATCCCCAAATTCATTATTTATTTATTAGCATTCTTTTCTTCTTAAATTTTGAGTTCCAAATTCTCTCTCTCCCTCCCACACTCCCCCCAGTAAGAAGCCAAGCAATATAATATCAATTTTGTATGTAAAATCATGCAAAACATATTTCCATATATTACCCATATTGAAAAAAGGTAAAAAAATATATATATTTCAGTTTACGTTCAGAGTTCATCAGTAGTTCATCTGGGGTAGTTGCCAGGTGTTTCAGAGTTGATCATTATTACAACATTTCTGTTTTTGTGCTCAGTGATCACCTGGTTCTTCTCACTTCATTTTGTATCAATTCGTGTTTTTCCAAGATCATCCCCTGCATCGATTTCTTTTTTTTTAATTTAAAAAATTTTTTTTCTCCCTCGTAATTTCTTATAGCATAATAGTACTCCTTCACATTCACATACCACAACTAGTTCAGCCATTCTCCTCCAATAAGTGTCGCAGGTTGGATTTGCACTCAGTACTTAATGATTTTAAGTCAAATGCTATATACACTCTGCTACCTAGCTGACTCTTTTCCATAAGAAGTTATGATTGTCTTTTTAAAAAAAATTTTATTTTCAACATTCATTTTTTTAAAAATATTGAGTTCCAAATTTTCTCCCTTCAGCCTCTCCTGTACCCACTAAGAAGGCAAGAAATATGATATAAATTATATGTGTGAAATCATGTAAAACATATGAATGAACCTTTTAAAAAATATGTGAGGGCCATATTTTCATGGCTCTTTGGGAGTGGTTGTGGAGGTGAGACAGAGGAGGCGATCTAGTTGATGCAAAGACAAATGATATCAGTAAAATCTATTTTTAAAAATATGTGAGGGGTCCCCAGTCCTACTGTAGCAGCTCATTGTGTCTCTTACAATATCTGTAAAACATTTAGCAAAGAGCCTGGTATGTAGTAGGTGTTAAACAAATGCCTGTTCCTTTTCGTTTTCCTTTCCCTTTCCCCTCTTAGGGATTTCACTATCATCAGTGCTTCCATCTCTGACTGACCTTAAAGTGTTTCTTCCCACAGAAAGAGGGACTATAATAGAATAATAGGACCACAGATTTTAGAGCCATAAGGGAACTGAAGAGATTAATTAGTTCAACCCCTATGTTTTTATGGATAAGAGAACTGACAGGCCAGACAGAAGACCCCTAATATGTGTCATCAGAGGATTTTAGAACTTAGAACAATTAGGTCCATAGAAATGAACTAGTCCAATACCTGTTTTCAAAATGAGGAAAAGGAGAAGAGAAATTACTTTCTGTTCTGGCTAGTAAGTAGGAGAACTGGGTTTAAGTTGGGCTGTATTTTTATTCCCAGAATTTAGCAACAGTGCCTGGTAAACAGTAAGGGCTTAATATTTAAATGCTTTATCTAATCTAATCTTTTTACTCCCCACTGCCTGGTCAAATATGTGACAAGAGCATGCTAATTCTAAATTCTAGGGCCTGAACCATGCCGGGATGCTGATTGATTGATTAAATGACTGATGGTAGAAACTTCAGGAGCATGGCTGGTTTGGAAGCCATTATGTCAGCTAGAGCCTCTAGGAGGACTGCAAATTAAAGGCTGTTATGTGTCGGGCCTGGTTCGGGCTGGTTCCGTGACTCGGGCTTGGGATTGGAATGAAATTAGACCCTTGTGCACTATATAACCTTTAAAACAAGAAAGGTCACTCAGTAATGGCATAGAAAGGATATTCAGCAAAGATACAGTGTTAGTTCATTTGGGTGTAGCTCTGCTTATCTCTACATTTGGCACAATGGCATTGTTGAGATTTTCCTGGCCAAAGGAGCACTGACTACTTATGCCCTGAACTTTAATGCCTTAGTCAACCAGGAAGCCATGTCAGCGAATAAGTCCCTGTTACTTGATGCCATACGATGGATGACACCTTGGGATTTGCATTTGTTCAGAAGTGATTGATTGATCAAATTTGACCTTATAAATTAGCTTCTATGAAATGAAAGTGGATGCCAAAGGAATGGTCTGTGTTTTTCTTAAACCTAAGGACTAAGAAGTTTTCATAGCCAGTGTTCATCTTATGATTGCTTACAAAACATCAACAGTCATGCTCCAAGTATTAGTTTCCAATTAGATACATCATAATAATCATGCTGCACTGCTAATCATAGATCATTTGATTGGAGGACAAATGCCCTCAAGCTCCTTGAATCCTGTATCTTGTAAGCAAGAGAGACAGCGTTACCACATTCTTTTTCCTAGCGATGTGACCACAAGCAAATCATTTAACCTCTCTGTTCCTCAGTTTCCTCTTCTGTAAAACGAGGGGGAGGAACAAACTAGATAAACATTTGCAAAGGGGGAATGAATTATTTTCATTCATATCTTAAATAAAATAAATTTATTTTTAAAAAAAGTTTTAAAAACTTAATAAAATTGGATTAGTAAACTTTGCTTTATTACTTTATTGATTGATTGAATGACTTATGGTAGATACTTCAGGAGGATTGGTATAGCATTTGGAAGCCATTACGTGATCTAGAACCACAGAAGAACTTCAAGTTAAGGGCTCTTTTGGGTCAGTCCTCGCTCAGGTTTGTCTGATGGATCAGGTTTAGGATTGGAATGATGTTTGGTATTTATATACTATATAGCCTATTCAAAATAATAAATAGGGTATGTTATTTTGAAGTAATTCATTTAAACCTACTAAAGCACATATGAGATCTTTGCAGACAAAATAAAGAAATTTCATTGATAGAAATAGGGAAGATCTGGGCAAATGAAGGGATGTGCCATATACTTGGTACATCAGTGAGTTGCCATCCTAATTCTAACCTGTACCCTCCCAATAGAATGTAAATTTTTTGAAGGCAGAGACTATTTCATTGTCCTCCCCTCCCCTAACCCCCATCACATGTTCAAAGACCAACACATCGTGTAGCACATAGCAGTCACTTAATAGATGCTGATGGAATTAAATTGAAGTGAACACAATTATTTCAGCTAAGAAGTTCTGTCATTTCATGCTCTTGTTTAGCCCCCCTGTATACCACTCCAACAGCACTGCGGAGCTCCTTTGTCATTGTCCTATTATAGACCTTAATCGAGCTTCTACCAGTATGCTGGCATAATTAAGAAAAGTTGTTTTCCATAATGATGTTTTATGTCTCAGAAGCTCCTCTAGAAAGATCTTTAAGCATCCTCCAAGTCAGGGATTCTTAACCTTGGGTTCTGTGAACTTGGTTTTTCAGTATTTTGATAACTATATTTCAAAATAATTGATTTCCTTTGTAAGCCTAAGTATCTTATTTTAGGCATTTAAAAACCATTATTCTGAGAAGGGGTCCAGAGACTTCTCCTGACTGGCAAAGAGGTTCATGACACACAAAAAATTAAGAACCCTCTTTCTGTATATGTATGTTTTGGGATCTTTTAAAGACTACTTCAAAGCTTTTGCAAAACTGGTCATTCTAGAGCTGAGAGGACATTTTAATTTGCATTTAATTAGCGCGTTATAAGAGGTGAAACCTTGTGACATGGAACAAAATATTCTGGTATTTTATGTTACAGTGGAATTTTGATAATTTAAAAAGATTGGTTGGAATGTATCTATCAAGATGGGCTTGAATAATCATTTTTGGTTATTTAGAGTATATTTAAATATTCATTTCACATTAAATGTGTGACTTCCCAAACTGAGCATGGGCAGTGACTCAGAATCCCCCTCTTTTTTTTTTCTTTCATTTTGCATAGGCTTTATTGGAGTCATTCGGGGTATAATTGTCTCTAATTTGCATATATACAAGCTTGTCTTATCCCCAATCAGAGTGCATTGTGTTTTGAGGGAATAGAGAGTTAGGCTAGGGGGCTTGGAGACCAACCTTGTTGCACAGGCGTATGGAAAAGCAGTGAATGAAATAAATTCACGTCAACAACCCAGAACTCTTTCTAATGATCACTGTATACCTATAAAGGTAAACAGTGGAGCACCCACAGTACTTTTGCAAAAGTTTACAAACCATAGTCTCATTTTTCCTTTGTAGTCAATCCTCAACATTTAGAAGCATTGAGTTTATATGCCAAGCGTAGTTTAAGTGCTGGGGATACAAAGAAAGGCAAAAAATCACAGAGAGCGAAATTTTAGCTCTTCTGTCTAAAGGAGCAAAACATACATGGTATTTGAAAGACAATTCTTAATTTCCCCATCCTTTTTATCCCAAATATCCTTTTTTGCAAGCTTCTGAAAATTAAAAAGCAGTTTGTCCTCATAGCCAATATTCAGTTTGCCTCCTGCAGTGTTGAGAACTCCCAAGGTTTTCATAGCAAATCAGTTTGTCCACACCCATGGAAAAGTGACTCAAAGCCTGTATTCACCTTGAATTACGGCCATGCCCTTTAGGGGTTTCGTTTTGCTGAAATCATCTTCCCTCCTTTGAAAATCACCACCCAAAAAATTTATATCCAGTAGGCTGGGGTTTCGTTATATCACTCGTGTATTCCAGTAGTTGTGCCAGGGAAAATTCTGAGAATTTAGTGGTCATATTTGAAAGCATGGCTAAGCATCAGACTAATGCTGAAGACCTGTCCTCACTTGCTAGGTGTTATCAATTTCATGCTAATATTTGCTTTGTGATACATCAGAGGAGGCTGCTCTGTTTTTGTTACCCTGCCCCAAACCAGAGAGATATATGCAGGTCTATTCAAACCTTTCATTTGGGGCCATTTGCTCAGACTTGAGATAGGCAGAGTAAGCAAGTCCCTGTCTAGGCAGGAATTACTATAATTCTATCACACTTCTTTTCATT